TGATCCTTCTTCCAGCAACGTTTAACCTTGTAAAGTCTGAAAAAGTGACTTATTGTCATGTGTAATAGTGTGCAGTGCTGTAATGCACCTTGTAATAAACTGCAGCACATTCACTGCTGTTCTACACTCTCATTCCTCTAGATGTTATTTATGAGCAGAGATCAACATCCTATAATGCAGTTCACCACCGCTAATAAACACTAAATAACATGAGCAGATATTGTTGACAGGGCAGACGTGATTCTGAAGTGATTCTGTAAAGCAAACCGCTTAAAAGCAGAGTGTAAAAGCTGATGAGTGTATATACAGAAGGATATTCCAGACTCTGATGATGAGTTATTCAGGACGATCAGATCAGATCAGATGGTGGGATAAATGCCAAAGCTGGATATGCCACACATGTTTTTGTTTCGTGCCATGCGGATATAGCCGTTTTCACCCCATGCCGTCCCCCAGCTGACACAGAGAGAGAGAGAGAGAGAGAGAACTTTCACTTATAGAATATCACTAATAGTAATTTCTCATGTTCAACACTAGAGGTCGCCAGAGCTCAAACTGATATACTAGCATGATTGCATTCATTCATTCATTTTCCTTCAGCTTATTAATCAGGGCTCGGCACAGCAGAATGAATCGCCAACTATTCCAGCATATGTTTTACACAACGGATGTCTTTCCGACTGCAACCCAATATTGGGAAACACCCACACACACTCATTCACACACACTCATACACTACGGCCAGTGTAGTTGATCAGTTCCCCTATAGCGCATGTGTTTGGACTGTGGGGGAAACCGGAGCACCCGGAGGAAACCCACACCAACACGGGGAGAACATGCAAACTCCACACAGAAACACCAACTGACCCAGCCGAGACTCAAACCAGAGACCTTCTTACTGTGAGGCCACAGTGCTAACCACAGAGCCACCATGTGATTACATATATACTCATATTAAAACAATTTACACTATATTATAATATTTATGACAGACAAACATATATAAAGAGCCTTTACAGCTGTAGAAATGAAAGAAAACACTTTGAAATTCTCTGTTTATGGAGAGTCGCTGGACTGAATGTCTATTTATTTGATTCTGTAATAGTGTGAATACACTTCTTACACATTTTAAATTAAAGTATTGTGTTTTCTTTTCTTTTTTCTTTTAAATGACTATCAAATCAATATAAATTGGTCAGAATAATTAATCTTCAGTTTAAATTAGCAAGAAATGTCATCAGTGTTTTACAGAATAAAACAAACACTGATTTTTTTTTTAAAACACACAACTATAAATGATAAACACAGACTAAATAGAAGCCTCTAAATGTGTATATACATTTCAAATTTAGCTTCATATTGAAGCACTTTGAGTTATTATTGTGTATGAGGTGTATATTTAAATATATAGTAAGTGTATATATAATATGTGTTAAACTGTAGTAATTTAGTGTGAAGTTACTGTCACCTGTTTTTCACCAGCCAGTAATCCTGTCCATTCTCTGAGCCGTAACCGACCACCAGAACCGCATGATTGATCAGAGCCGAGCTGCACTTTGGGTCATTGTAGATGCCTGAACACACAAACACACACACACACACACACAAACACAAACACACACCTACACATTCACCTTTAGCTCTTTCACCTGTGTGCATGTGAGTGTGTGTGTGTGTGTGTGTACGTGTTTTTGTGACATATAAGGACACAAATCTGCATAATGACATATGTATGACACAAGTATCACAAAAAGGAGGTGAAATATTAGGACATTGGTGACATCCTCATCCCTCAAAACACTTGTAAATCACACAGAGTGAGCTTATTTCAGAGAGTAAAGCTGCACACAGTCTCCTGTGATGGTTGGGTTTAGGGGTAGGGTGGTATGAGGGCAATATAATATACAAATTGAACAGTATAATATGAATGGATCCTATGTAATGTCCCCACTATTCACAAAAACAAACGTGTGTGTGTGTTTTCTCACCGCTTCTGTATCTGTGGAAGGACAACAGTTTAGCGTTGATGCCGACAGACACGGGCCCGATGTTAGCGACAGCGCTCTGCAGCGCTGCTTCATTGTGGCGTGGAACAATCCTGAAGCCAGTGCAGTATCCGGCTCTTCCCGACACCGAGTATCTGCACACACCCTCCTGCAAACACCACCGCAACATTACAGCAACGTTATTGCAACACAACTGCAACATCATGACAATGATGCAGCAACATTACTGCAACATAAAGACTGTTACAGCAACATTACAGCAACATCATTACATACATCACATTTGAAATACATTTTATATTGTGCTTCATGTGATTTTTTAATCTAAAATTTATTATTTGCATTTAAAATTAATATTAATTTCTTTATTTTCAATCTTTTATGTGTAGTTTAATTTTCATTTGTAATGTGAAAGGGGGGGCGGCATGGTGTCTCAGTGGTGTCGCATTGTGTCCTTACAGTAAGAAGGTCTCTGGTTTGAGTCCCGGCTGGGTCAGTTGGTGTTTCTGTGTGGAGTTTGCATGTTCTCCCCGTGATGGTGTGGGTTTCCTCCGGGTGCTCCGGTTTCCCCCACAGTCCAAACACATGCGCTATAGGGGAACTGATCAACTACACTGGCTGTAGTGTATGGGTGTTTCCTAGTATTGGGTTGCAGCTGGAAGGGCATCATCTGCGTAAAACATATGCTGGAATAGTTGGTGGTTCATTCAGCTGTGGCAACCCTCGATAAATCAGAGACTAAGCTGAAGAAAACTGAATGAATGAATGAAGGGACAGCTCACTTTCTCCTGTTGAACACAATGGATATTTTGAAGAATGCTGAAAACCTGTAACCATTGACTACCATAGCAGAAAAACAAATACTATGGAAGTCAATGGTTACATTTGTCTTCAACAGAAAAAAAGAAATGAGTAAATGATGACAGAAGCTTTATTTTTGAGTGAACTATCCCTTTAACCTGCCCTCTGCAGTTCCCTCATGATCCCCCAGGGGTCGCAGTTTCTACTATTCATTTACTAATCCTGAAGCCTCATTCAGCTCTAAACGCAGTCATATCTGTAGCTTGTATCTGTGTGTGTGTTGTGGTGTGTGTATTGGTGTGTGAGTGTGTGTGTGGTACCTTGTGCTCATAGGGGTAGAACGTGCTGGAGTCGATGCCGCGGTTCTGGATGACGTAGAGGAAGGCCCTGCTCAGGAATCCTCCTTTGCATCCGCGGTTCCCCAAACTCACACTGCAGTCCAGCAGATTCTGAGCGCTCAGAGGAACCAGAGCTGCGGTCCTGCGCTTCATCTGAGCCTCCAGAGAACCCACAGCACTGAACGCCCAGCAGGAGCCGCACGGGCCCTACACACACACATATGCACATTGCACATATGAGCACACACACACACATGCACATTGCACATATGAGCACACACACACACATGCGCAGTTAAACTTCTGTGAACAAACACACACTATCAACACTACTCTTCCATGAACACACATATTATGATCCTAGGTTACACACACACACCTGGTTCTGCACAGGACTGACCATCCCGTGCTCTGTCCAGTTGACTCTCTGTGGAAGCGTCTGCAGTGAGGGAGGACTGAAGGTGGCGTTCACATCAGGGAAATCCTCCTCTAGTAAACCGTTCATATCATTGACTTCATCTGCAGTCTGAACACACACACAAACACACACACACACACACACACACACACTTGCAGCTGTCTTTATGGGGACTTCACATAGACCTAATGATGTTTGTAATATTCAGACTGTATGTTCCCTCCCCTACCCCTAAACCCAACCCTCATATCAAATATTCTGCATTTTCACATTTTCTAAATATTTCCCAGTTTTGGTCCCCACAGTGACACAAGTCCCCATGAGTCTGTGTGCATTCAACTTTAAGTCCCCACTAGGATATAAAAACCATCTGCGCTGAAATCAGTGTGTCAGTACCATATCGCTGAGCTGGTTCAGGCCCAGTGTGTATGAGTGCAGACCGACAGCCGCCGCTTCATTATGGAGGAGAATGTCCTGCAGATTCTGCTTCCACACACTCCTCCTCAGACGTTCCTCTCTCTGCAAACACACACACACACACACACACAGATATATATATATATATATATATACACGCACAAACACAGATACAGATATACACACACATAAACAGATATAGACACACACACACTAATTTTATTGTTTACACTAAACTTTTATTCTGTCTATATTCTGATCACACACACTAAACTTTACACTTTTATTCTGTCTATATTCTGATCACACACACCAAACTTTACACTTTTATTCTGATCACACACACCGAACTTTACACTTTTATTCTGATCACACACACCAAACTTTACACTGTTATTCTGTCTATATTCTGATCACACACACCAAACTTTACACTTTTATTCTGATCACACACACCAAACTTTACACTGTTATTCTGTCTATATTCTGATCACACACACCAAACTTTACACTGTTATTCTGTCTATATTCTGATCACACACACCAAACTTTACACTTCTATTCAGTCTATATTCTGATTAACAACTAATTTAAAAGCGGAATGATCAGCAATTGCTCGCTGTGTGTGTGTTTTCTTGTGCGCTAGACGTGACAGGTCTGTGTGTTTTTAGTCCCCAACACACACACCAGCTGGCTGTACGTGATGCTCACAGTTCCCAGAACAGATTAAAACAGACCAATGAGTGTCCTGCGCTGCATTTAATCATCGAACAGCAGCACTCGAGCTGATTGTGTCTGTGTTTGAGGAGTGATTCTGTCCATTCCTGGATTTAACTGATCATGATGATGCTTTAATGGGGAAGCAGAGGTGAAGAGGAGTGAAGGGATCAGCTGGAGCGACAGGTGTCCACTCACTCTCACACACACACACCTCATTCTGCTGATTCCAGATCAGTGGGGCAAACAGCAGACAGATTAATCACGTCTGTATATGTGCTTGTGAGTGTTTGTGTTCAGGTGTGTGTGTGTCAGTCGGTGTGTGTGTTTGTGTATGAATGTGTGTGTGTGTGTCTCCATGCATGTGTTTCTGTGTGTGTGTATCTGTGCATGTGTGTCTCTGTGTGTGTTGTGTCCGTGTATGTGTTTCAGTGTATGTGCATGCCCGTGCAAGTGTGTTGATGTGTCTTTATATGAATGTTTGTATGTGCTGGTGTGTAAGGGTGCATCTGTTTGCGTGTGTTTCGATAAGTGTGCAAGCTTTTGTGTTTTACAGTACATGTGTTTGTGTGTGTGGACTTACTGTGTTTCTGTAGGTCTTGTTGTGTTGTGATTTCCAGGTTGTCCATTGATTGGTCAGACGTCTGATCTCACAACCGACCAGAGACACACACACAAGAACCAGAGCACATCTGATCACCAGCATACCTGCACACACACACACAACAACGACGCTGAACGCATTCATACACAAACAGACATGCACATACACATGAATAAACACAGACATGTATGCACACACACACACACATAACCATGCCACACACAGACACACAAACACATACATACATACAGATCAGATGCACACATAGACAAACATGCATGCACACACGCACACAGGCAAACACACACATGCAAAAAAGCATATCAATCCAGCAGAAATGGAGACTCATCAGAGCAGCAACGTTTCTCCAATCTTCTATTGTCCAGTTTTGGTGAGTCTGTGTGAATTGTAGCCTCAGTTTCCTGTTCTTAGCTGACAGGAGCGGCACCCGGTGTGCTCTTCTGCTGCTGTAGCCCATCCGCCTCAAGGTTGGACGTGTTGTGTGTTCAGAGATGCTCTTCTGCAGAGCTCGGTTGTAACGAGTGCTTATTTGAGTTACTGTTGCCTTTCTATCAGCTGGAACCAGTCTGGCCATTCTCCTCTGATGCTCGGTTTGAACTGCAGCAGATGGTCTTGACCATGTCTACACGCCTAAATGCAGTGAGCTGCTGCCATGTGAATGTCTAACTTGTGTTAACAAGCAGTTGGACAGGTGTACCTAATAAAGTGGCCGGTGAGTGTATCTCTAAATAAATTCATAGTTGAAATTAAAGTTGCATTTATCTAAATATCTAACTACTAGTAAAATTTACTGTTTAAAACCGAATTATTTACGCTTCTGTATAATATTAATTCTTTTTCCAAATATTTCCCAAGTGATGTTTATCAGAGAAAGGACATTTTTTCACAGTATTTCCCGTCATATTTTCATTCTAGAGAAGCTCTTAATTCTTTTAGATTGACTGAATACAATAAAAAGGTTTAATAGTATTAGAAGAGCAGTTGTCCAATGACTTAAATAACAAACCTAATTTGCCTAATTAAACTATTCAGCTAATTCTTTAAATGTTGCTTTAAGCTGAATACTTGCAGAATAATTAGTCAAAGCACGTGCTGTCATTACGGCAGAGACTAAAGAGATTAGTGATTAAACTATTTCACTTCAAAATGTGTTGAAAATGTTTTAAAAAATTATATTTAAAATTCCAAAGCAGGGCTATTAATTATTACCGCTTGTTGAAATAAATTCTACCCCATTTTTTCAGTCTTTGAGATGATTCGTAGAGTATCTACACACACATTTATACTGCAGTATTTGTCCAGTAAAGTTGGATGTTCCCTGAAGTGTGTGTGTGTGTGTGTGTGTGTGTGAAGATGGTCTTACCGGCGTCTGTGAGTGAAGATCTTCTGTTTCTCCTCTGTCCTGCCGTCACTCTTCACTCTTCTGCTGATAGGAAGTCACTGCTGAACTTCCTGTGTGTATGTGTGTGTGTGTGTGTGTGTGTGTCATGTGAACAGAATTAAACTGATCAGATCATGTTTGTTTCTCATTCAGACTTTCCTTCAGTGAAATCTTTATTTCTACATTGAAACTGTTTATAAAGTGGAAAACAGATCTGCTTGAGGAGTGTGCATGAATGCATGCGTGCGTGTGTGTGTGCGTGTTTGAGTTTTTGTGTTTTACTGAGATGCTGAAATGAGTTTGACACCCACAGGAGTGTGTGTGATACTGATACAGCAGTGCTGATGCTGACTGTGTGTGTTTGTTTGTGTGTGTGTGTGTGTGTGTGTGTGTTTGTGTGTTTCTGAGCTTGCGTATTTCATGCTGTGTGTGAATGTATCTGTGCTTGCATGTCTCATGCTGTGCATGTGTGTGTGTGTGTGTGTGTGTTACTGACACTGCACAATGTCATGTGCATTATCATAAACACACGCACACACACACACACACACACACACACACACAGCATGAGACACACAAGCACAGATGGAGAGGATCTGACTCAGCAACCTCAGACAGGGATACCGTGGACACTTTTGGTCATATACTGCTGTCTTCACCTGATATTATTACAGTGTTGTACAGACGCTAGGACACATTTCTCAAGGTCACTTCTGCAAAACTCTTTACACAATTCTCCAAACCGACTTTCAGCTTGGCAGAGCAGCTCATTTCACATTCAACATGTACCAGAGCTACCACAACACTGTATTCAGCTCTCAAATAAAGTCATTCTTCCAGAACACTAGCAAAGGTGGACAGCCGACACACACACACACACACACACACACACACACACACACACACACATGGTCACCCACAAAACAAGCTAAAAAGCATGCAGCATCACACAGTGCTCTCCTGTGCAAAACAAGCACACGTCTCTGTCTATAACTGCAGTATATGTTGCTGGAATGAATCAGACATGATGCAGAATTCAGCAATATTTTCTGTCCTTCATTTATTTTTAGGTGTTTGCACTAAGTAATTCCCAAATACAAGAGTTTGTCTACACACCGTCCTGATGCAGACACAATAGTAATGCTCATGTGGCTGGTTAAACTCATTTTTAGATGTGAATTATATTTCAGAAGAGTATTGCTGTTGAATTTCGCTCTTTTATTCAGTTTTGCATTGTGTTATTGTTTTGAACATGATGTAATGTGCATTTATATAGTGATAAGTCGTGTATGGCCATACACCCAAAGCCCTTCACCATCATGAGGGGGGTCTCTCCACACCACAACAGTGCAGCTCCACTTGGAGGATGCTCCGGCAGCCACAGGACAGCAGCGCCAGAGCTTCCCCACACACCAGCTACAGGTGCAGTGAAGAGACAAGTTGAACAGTTTTGAAATGTGAGCACGTGCAAAATGTCCTGTACGTACACAGTTTTGTCAGTTGTTGTGTCTGAGTGAGAAAAGTTTGAGAGATGTTGTCAATGAACGCATTTTAATCCAAAACAATGAGAACTGATCCTCAGTTTAGCCCACAGACACTTCTGCTGTTCTCTTGTTGTTATTTCGGACAGAATAAAGCCAAGTTTTAATTTGTTTTAAAGCCATTTTAAGCTCAATATTATTAGTCGCCTTAATTAAGCAATATTCATTTTGATTGTCTACAGGACAAACTGTTATACAATGACTAATCAAATAATTTAGAGTATATTATGATGTATTTCCTTAATGAAAATGTGAAATAATATCATTGTCAATGATCATAAACAGACCAAATACATTTGGAGGCAAAATTCAACAAACATTGCTCTACAAAACTGATAAGCATGAATAAAAGCATGCCGTAACCCAATATTGGGTCAAATGTGGACAAACCCAGCATTGGGTTAATTTTTTGAATTACAGTTTTATTATTATTAAAGATTAAACAAAATCTGTATTCATCACTTTTTATGATACTTTTTAACCCAGTGGCTATGTTTGCCCATATTTGACCTGTTGTGTAATATTGTTTTTAGAAAACAAACACACACACACACACGCATGCACACACACACACACACACACACACACACACACTACTGAAGCATAAGGCTGAGACTCAATCTGAGGATGCTGTTATGTTTTGTTTCTTCATTATATAAAGATCTTTAAAGATGTTAAAACCCTCTAATCTTCACACACACACACACACACACACACACACACACAATCCTCTGTGTGTGTCTTTCTCTCTCACACACACACTAAACACGCAGTCAAAATTCTTGAGTTTGTGTTTTAGTGCTACTTTCACTCATGCTTGTATATGAAGCCATTAAGCTGCAGCCTCAGCGAATGAAAACAAATCAGAAATTCAGATTACACACACACACACACACACACACACACACACACACACACACACACACCCGCCCTACAGATGCTGCATTAATCTGAGAGATAAAACTCTCTCTCTCTCTCTCTCTCTCTCTCTCTCTCTCTCTCTCACACACACACACACACACACACACTGTCTGAAACAGATGAAATCCACTCAAGCCGTCATTGATAAAACTCTGCATAATAACAGTGACAGCAGGTACAGTAGACTACAAGAGTGTTTATGTTTTTATACTTAAACCCAAATACACACACACACACACACACGCACACACACACACACACACACACACATGGTTAACCTGAGGAATACAAATATGACACAGAATTAAAAATGTAAAAGTGAAGCTTATTTTTCAGTCAGGGTTGAGTTTAGGGTGAGAGGACACAATATACAGTCTGTACAGTATACACACACCATTACAGCTATGGAGAGGGCACGTAATACATGAAAACACAACATTATTAGTGTGTGTGTGTGTGTGTGTGTCATCATGTGATCTGAGTATTTCTCCTCATTAGACCCCAGTAAACTCGCTGTGATCATTTAGTTAATACCTTTCATTCTGTCCATGATGAAGTCCTCAGGAGCGACGCGCGTGCGCACTAACCCTCAGTTTCTCCATCTGCTGTGTTTTTATTTTTTGGGGGAATTTCCTTATTTATTGACTTGCTTATTTATTTATTTCTGCGTTAAATCCGCAGATTTGTCTGACCCCGTCCACGCAGACCATCATCTTCTACCCGTGGCTGAAGTAATAATGCGCGATCTTGGCGCGGGTCCACGCGCCATAAATCCGTCCGCGCGCGCTCCCGCGTGATTGTGAGCGCGCGTCCTCGCGTTGATGCAGTTCGACGCGACGCTGGGAGTTTTAACGCGCACATGGACGGGAAAAACCACTTGTTCGCATGTTTACAAGGATTTAAACCAACACAATTTGTCAGAAACACCGCTGAGGTGAAGTTTGAGTTGTTCGCGCCATTTTCTCGAGTCTGTCAGGTGAAGCACCTGTACGCGTGGATGGAGTTCGCGCCTCTGCATGTAGTAGGACAAACGCCTGGTTGCAGGTGAGAACTGATGGAAACTGACATAAATACTTATTAATTAGATATTTAATCACAGTGAGAGATGTATTTACCTGAGGAGTGGTGTCAGGTGAACTGATGAAACCCGTCACGACCCCCTCCGGGTCACTTTACAAACACAAGTGAAGAAACAAACGACACTTATTGGGCTAAAGTTGGCTTTATAATCGCACTACGACTTTATTCTTAATAATGTCATTTCATAAAAGCATTCTTATCAAATTCTAAATGAAGAAATTAAAAGACAAATTACAACATTGTTCACAGTCAGTTAAATAGTACAGAAACGCAGCTAAGTGACAGAAATGCTGTTTACTTGTTTTTATTGTGATTTATTTAATGAGAGATGAGCACATTAACACACAGTTTTGCTTTATTAGTAGGTTAATTGACATATACAATATTATGAAGGAATATTTCACCTAAAAATGAAAATTCTGTCATTTACTTCACCCTCATCTCTTTCGTTTATTGTGTTTTTATGTGAAACACCAATGAAGAAAAATGTAAATCTATTAAAGGGATAGTTCACCCCAAATACTCACCTTCTCTTCTTTTAAACCTGTTTGAGTTTCTTTCTGTTTGAGACAGGAAGGCATATTAAAGAATGCTTGGGAAACAGCCACAGTATTTATGTTTCCATGAAAGAAAGAAATGCCTAACAGTTTACAACTAATTGAGTAGATGGTTGAGGAAACTATTTCTAATTTAACTAGCTGTTTATTTTCATTGTTATGGAAGTCAAAGGCCACCCATCACCAACATTCTTCAAATCATCTCTTTTTTTGTGTTTAAAAGAAAATAGAAGTTCATAATTTTGGAATCAGGGTGAGTTTTCATTTTGGATGAAGCATTACTTTAATGCATTTGTCAAGCATCACTTTTGAATGGTCTATATGTTAATACTGTTGTTTGAATGTTTAGTTATATAATCAGACATTCTCCAGACTGAATGTAAATTGGATTTAGGTGGGAAACCCCTGAAGATAATCTTACAATTTAAAAACGCTTTTAAAAAGTTTTTTTATTTATACCAAACATAGAAATTTGTCTTAAAAATACAATTCAGACAACTAGAAATAGAACTGATAGTTTTTCGTCTATCATGCCACATTTACAGTTGAAGTCAGAATTGTTAGCTCCCCTGAATTATTAGCGCCCTTGTTTATTTTTTCCTCCAATTTCTGTTTAATGAAGGGAAGATTGTTTCAGCACATTTCTAAACATAATAGTTTTAATAACTCATCTCTAATAACTGATTTATTTTATCTTTGTCATGATGACAGTAAATAATATTTTACTTCATATTTTTCAAGACACTTCTATACAGCTTAAAGTGAGATTTAAAGGCGTAACTAGGTTAATTCTATAACAATGGTTTGTTCTGTAGACTAACGAAAGAAAAATTTGCTTAAAGGGGCTAATAATTTTGTCCCAAAAATGGTTTTTAAAAAAATTAAAAACTGCTTTTATTCTAGCTGAAATAAAACAAATAAGGCTTTCTCATGAAGAAAAAATATTATCAGACATACTGTGAAAATTTCCTTTCTCCATAATTTGGGAAATATTTAAAAAAGAAAAAAAAATCAAAAGGGGGCTAATAATTCTGACTTCAACTGTATATTGTTTTGTAGTGAAGTTGCCTGTATTTTTTAATGCTCTTTACATTGTAGAATGTGTCAAAGCCGCTGTGTGTGCATTAAGGAAAGTAATTCAATAAAAGTATTTCAGATTATGGAACATATTCAGCGCATCAGTTAGGCAGGGGAGTAGAGATAGAACGTTAGTTGCTAAATTAAGACCCATTCAGTTCAGTCTAATTTTAAGTGTCACTGCTAATTTTATTGCATTAACTAGTGTTTACTAATGAGATTTTATTGTGAAGACTTTATTGTAGGTCAATATCATGATAATGCCATATACCGTAAAAAACTTTAGCAATTAATCTAGTGCTCAAATGATTAATTGCATCCAAAATAAAAGTTCATATTTACAAAATGTATTGCTGCAAACTGTGCTCCTATATATGCGATGCATAACTATATATATATAAATATATTAATTTAGTTTATTTTTGTATTTTATGTTCAGTAAGTGTGTGCATTTATACAGTATAGACAGTACACTGTGTGTATATATTATGTAAACATAAACTTTTGTCTTGGATGCAATTGATTAATTAATCGCAAGTTTGCTTGAGGAACATCTCACCTGTGTGTGAGGTCACCGGATCATCTCACATGTGTGCGAGCTCACCTCCATGTGTAGATTGTGTAACCTCTTATTGTAAAGAAAGACAATGGGGTAAAGACGGGTCAAATTTCTGATGAGAAAATCTGGGAAGGTGCGAGTAACTAAGGATATAGTTACAGGACGATGATGTGCTAAAGACAAAAACTATTTCCTCTGACGTGAGAAGTGATCTTGCACAGGTGACTGCGTTATGGTCCTGTGATATTAAGGTGTTAGTATCAGATTGTTAGTCTAAGATATATATATATATATATATATATATATATATATATATAATCTAGTGTGTCCCAACAGTAACAAAAATCACATCTGAAAAATATAAACCTGATATAAACATCTAAAGGTTGCAGTTTGTCTCTTCATAAATGGATCAATGTTTTTTTTTTACTGTCACCTCATACTTCAGTTTTTCATTAAATCTTCTGATCAATAAAATGCAATTTTTCATTTATATCCTAATACTGGAGACTCGCATCTTTAAGGAGAGTTTGTTTAATTTGGTTCATTTATGTTTTGTTTTTTTAAATTACTGCCAATTTCTTCGATAGTTAATCGTGAGGACTTTTTGGTTGGTTTGACACTAATATCAGTTACTGTTGTATTCTGTGATATTTTGTGGATTTTCTAAAATGCAGATGTTTTGGCAACCAAATTATTTACAGAAAAAATGATATATTTAATATATATAGTATTTAAGTAAATCACCCATGTAATTTTTTCGTCATCTGGCCCATTCATAATCATGTTAAATAATCATGATTACAACACTGACCAAAATAGTCATGATTAAGATAATCGAGGAGCCCTAGTTCAGTCCTGACAAACATTGCAAAATCTTATTTTAGTAATTGTGGTGCATTGAATGCTGGGTTCTGATGATGCAAGAGTTGCAAGTAAAGCAGCTGAGAAGGCTGTTCTTTGTGCTTTTTATTTATTTATTTTGTAAAAGATTTATTGGAGCCTGATGAATCCAGTATAAATATGCACTAGATGCACTAGATGTTAATTACTACTCTTGTTGTCCAGAATATAAGAGAACATACAAATCAAGTGAAGGGATTTTTGGAGACTGAGGTTCCTAATTATCGTTATGCAACATTTGCTTTGCATTTTATGGTGAAAAAAAAAAAAATTCAGGTAAAAAATATCCGAATTCTTACCTCCAAGACTGGTTTATGATTCGGTCCACACTGAATCTGTGTGTGCAGAAATCCACAGATATTTTATCTCGTTATTGAGTGTATTTTTATTAAAGTTCATACTAGATATGATATACTATTTTTAAAATAACCAAAATTTATAGACATTTAAATGTAGTCATTTAGCAGATGCTTTTGTCCAAAGCGATTTACAATTGAGGAGAAATTCAGCAATTCAACATGAAGAGGCAATACACACAACAAGTGCTGATCATAATAAACTCTGTGTGCTCAGAGAATTTAGTGCAAGAGTAATTTTTTTTTTGAGAGAGAGTGTTTCTACAGGTGGTTTGTCAAGCCCACTCACTTGCGTGAAGCACATCACAAATACACTGTTTTTTTTGTTGAAATGATTGTAAAATGTGCAAAAAAAACCTGGTGCATGTGTTGGTTGAAATGTCAGAGAGATGAAAGTATGTTTTTTCTACAGGTGGTTTATCAAGCCTACTCACCTGAGGCACACTCAGAATTGTATTTATAACAATATTCAGGGGTTGGTGTGTGGAGTGGTGGGAGGAGTGATTTATTGACAGATTCAGGTGGTCAGGGAAAAGAAGGGATTATAGTTGTGGTTTTAAGGGCACCAGTGAATCTGCCGTCTGTGTGGGAATGGGAAGATCACTCCACCAATGGGGAACAGTAAATGGAAAGGTTCTGGAAAATGATTTCCAGCCTTTCTGTGTTGATATCATAAGTTGGTGCTCGCTCTCAGACTGGAGGCTCCTGGAGGGGATGTGGAAGTCAGAGGGTGCAGTGCCAGCGGCTGTCCTGTAAGAAAGCATCAGTGATCTGATCGTGATCTCGAGCGGTAACCAATGCAGAGAGATGAAGAGAGGAGTTACATGAGTTCTGGAGCATCTGTAGAGTCCAGCTGCAGGAGTCCAGCACTGAGATGACCAGAGCTCACACTCAGAGATGTGCAGCAGGATCTGTGAGGAAGTGTCTGATTTACTGATGATGACGAGTGCAGACCTGCATGATGGAGACGTGTGAGCAATGTGCTCCTTGAAGGACTGCTGACCATCCAGGATCACTCCAAGATTCCTTACTGAATTACATGGTAGATGATCCCAGCTGGAAGGAGAAGTCATGTTGTGTGTGTGTGTGTGTGTGGTGTTGCAGAAAAGATAAGTAGGTGATGCTCTTTTATCCAAGCTGAGATGTCCTCCAGGTGGTGCCAGATTCCTGCAGCTATTGTTGGATGAAGTGAAAGATAGAGCTGCGTGTCATTGGCATAGCAATGATAAGAGAAACCATGTGATTGGATGATGGCTCCCAGTGGTGTGGTGTAAATGAAGAATAATAGGGGATCCGGAACAGATCCCTGAGGTACTGCAGTGGCCAGACGAAGAGCTTTGGATTCCTCTCCTCCCCAGGCAACTATGCCAGTGAGGTCAGACTCCAACCAGCAGAGCGGGGTTCCAGTGATGCCCACTGAGGAGAGGGATAGGAGACTCTATTGATTCACTATCAAAAGCAGCAGACGGGTCCAGTAAAAGCAGAACGGATGATTTAGAATCTGCTTTGGCAATTCGTGACTGATAGTAGAGCAGTCTCAGTGGAACGAACACTTCTGGAGCCTGATTAATTTGCATCCAGCAGGTTATTGTGAGATAAAATTGGGTTAAAAACAACAGTTTCCAGTGTTTTTGGCAATACAAGGAAGAAGAGAGACCACACAGAGTAACTACGACACAACTAGTTGCTTTTTTGGGTAGTAACTCAATATTGTAAGGGATCCCAACACTGCTGAATATTGTAAGCACACCGACTGCTGTTCCTCAAATCAGTAAAGCTGAATGATGCATGCAGAGATGTGGTGTTTACAGTGCAGTGCATGCTCTTGTGTAAAAGCATCAATATAAATAGCATTAGCATCTGAGAAACACATCAGCTGCAGTAATGCGTGTCGCAGCTCAGTGTTAATGAATGGCCCTGCGGTCGGCGCAGTGTGTTTGTGTGTGTTGAGACGCATTAGCGATGGTCTTTTAAGGGCTTGAAGTTTAAGCCCTCTTGAGCACTTTTAAAGATGCTTAACGCACGGAGACAAAACATGCTGGAGTAAACAGACAGATGAAGAGATGCAGCAGCCATTACAGCCTCCATTAAAGCCCATCTGAAGAGCAGATTACAGGCGTCTCCTGCATTTAACATATGCTGTGCAGAGCGCACAAATCCCCCGATTCATGCCGGCAGCGCACGTTTGTGTGTGTGTGTGTGTTTGAGTGTGTACGTGCGCTCCGCTTCATTCATACTGTAAATTCATAAATGGTCGCATTCAACAGGGAATATCATTTCTCATAAACGGTTTCTGAATACTTATTGTGAATGCATGATGCTTTTATCATAAACAACAGCACATGTAAAGCACATACATGACCGTATGGCTGGACTGTATGTCACAATGCAAGTGATCTCATATCCTGATTAATGATATACAGTTAAGTGCAAAATTATTCGCCCGTCTGTGAAATTAAAATATTTCTCAAGTGATATTTATTGAATTAAGGAATTTTTCACAGTATTTTCTATGATATCATGTAATAATATTAATACTAAGGTCATGTTAAGCTCAATATTATTCGCCCCTTCAGCAATATTAGTGTTGGATTGTCTTCAGAACAAACCACTGTTATACAATGACCTGCCTAATTACCCTAACTTTACCCTAATTACCCTAGTGAAGCCTTTACATGTCACTTTAAGCTGAACACTATTGTCTTGAAGAATATCTAGTCTAATATTATGTGCTGTCATCATGATGAAGAGAAAATAATATATCTACTTTTACAACAATACATGTATTTTAGTGCATTGCATGCTGTCAAAACAAATGAAAGTCCCATTACTATTCATTTCTGTTGCGTTTTGCATTATAATCGTCCCGCTGTTGATCCTTTTTAAAAAGTTTTACAATTATTTTTATTTTGCATGATTAAAATCGAAGTTTAATTTGAAAGTTTTTAACTTTTCGATGTTGATAACATGCTGCTTTTTTACTTTTATATCATAAAAGCGGTTAACAGGCAGCCGGTTGATCTTGCAGGAAAAACCAGATAACACACACACACACACACACACACACATGCTGTGTCTCTGGCAGATCCGTTAGTTCAGTTCTTTACCCCTGCCAGAATTTGGTTATGCAAACATTACGCTTGGAGTCCCGGACACACACACACACACACACACACACCTGCATCTGCTCTTCATACCTGCATGCACACACTCCCGCTGGTTTTAAACTTGTGAGCATCTGAGTCTGACATGCAGCTCTTCCTGTACGCTGACCTGAAGATGAACTCGTCCTGTGACCTTTGACCTCTGCAGCATTGATCACATCCTCCAGTCTGGCACTGAGCTCAATGAAAAATCAGCATTTCACCGGCTCAACCTGATCTCTCTCTCGCTCTCTCTCTCTATCCACGTTCATTTCACTTGTCATGGCTGCCAAATATTGCCCAAGCATTGCAGAATAAATAATGAATGCAGCTTTAGGGTGCATATATACATGTACAGATACTCACACACACAAAAACACACAATTAGAATTTTGATGAATACGATTAAGAAGGAAAACAATCAAGTATTAAAGTATTAAACAGATAATAAAATGCATTACTTTCTTTTTCTTTCAGATTCAGACTTGACTTATTGGCATGACAGATGTTGCATATTTATTGCCAAAGCATGTTTACATTAAAATAGAGCCTATGATCTAGAATCTAGATCAATAAATAACAGTACATTTAACACCTTATTTTAGGATAAAAGCATGATAATATTTATCAATATTTCTAAATTATATTTAGCAATGAACATTTTAGGACTCCTTTATAATAGTTTATCTGTGTGTGTGTGTGTGTGTGTGTGTGTGTGTGTTTGTTTGTTTGTGTAAGCACATCACTGATGTTTTGATTGGTCTTCTCTCTTTGTGACAGGCATCAGTGTATTGTGTGGATAGTTGAATGCAATCTGTTTATAGTAAATATTGAAGATGTGTTTTATTGTTTAACTTCTGTTTAAATCTCTCTCTGTATCCAGGCTGTGAGCGGGCGATCGCAGGGCTTTTCTTCAGGAATTGTTGGTAATGAGAAGGAGCAGCCCCTCTGCCAGCTGGTGAGTGTCAGACAGTTCATCATTTATTTCCATTACATGATGTGCAGTGGAAAATTACTGTAATAGATCATTAGGTGTTATTGAGCATTTTGTATCACATGGAAAAAGTCATCAAAAATAAGACGTGCATGAAAAGGTATTTAATGTGGAGTATAAAAATGAACTTTTATTTTCTCTTCAGTGTTTCAATGAGGAATATATTTGGCAGTTGTGTTGCTGCCTGCTGTTTTCGGTGTGTGTTGCCAGCTCTTTGGAGATGCGGTGTAAGGAGGTTCTTCAAGCTTAAAATGTCCAGATGGCTTGAAAGTTACATGCACATTAGGAGTAAATTAAAACGGCCTTCTTATATTAAAAATAGAGCTGGGCGAAGATTAATTGTGATCGTGAATAATCTCATCCAAAATAAATGTTTGATTTGGAGTGATGTATGCGTGCATAAAACAAATGTGCATGTAACACAATTTTGTATAGATATTTCTATTTTTAAAGATGTTTTATATCCAATATATATATATATATATATATATAAACTTTTTCTCAAATATATAGATGCTTGTGCGCATTTGCAGTTAAAGTCTGAATTATTAGCCTCCCTGAATTATTCGCCCGTTTATTTTTTCCCCAATGCCTCTTTAATGGAGAGCAGATTTCGTCAAAACATTTCTAATCATAATAGTTTTAATAACTCATCTCTAATCACTGATTTATTTTCTCTTTGCCATGATGACCGTAAATAATATTAGACTAGATATTCTTCAAGACACTTCTATACAGCGTAAAGTGACATTTAAAGTCTTAACTGGGTTAATTCAGTTCACTAGGCAGGTTAGGGTAATTAGGCAAGTTATTGCTTTGACTAAAATATATAGCTAATATAGGGACTAATAATTTTGACCCTAAAGGTTTTTTTTTTTTAATTAAAAACTGCTTCCTGTTTTCCAGCCAAAATAAAACAAACAGACTTTCTCCAGAAGAAAAAAATATTATCAGACATACTGTGAACATTTCCTCAATCTGTTGAAAATCATTTGGGAAATATTTAAAAAAGAAAATAAATCTAATAATCCTGACTTCAACTGTATATATACAGTCAAAACAATCTTTTATTTTGGGTGTGATTAATCAATATTAATATTTGCCCAAGACTAATAAAGTCACAGTACATTTCAATTGACAAGCCAGTGATTTCAGATCATTCCTATGCTGTACTCTGCATCACGAAGCTGCTTATTTAATGCAGCTTCATTTAAGTTAATGTTCTCATCAAAGCCTGTTTGTTCTCCAGCCTGAGATTTAGGACACAGTTTCATTTATTTATTTCTTTGAGTTTCCATGTGGTCAAATCAGACATCAGGCATTCAGTTTATTTCAACCTAGGCTCATTCTGAAAACATAGTCCCGCGGGCCGCGATTTATGTAGCTGGGGGTACGTTTGGCTGCATGTGCTTTTTTGGCTAGCCGCTTACCTGTGGAGGGCTTTCCCGCTGAAACCAGTTTGTCCAGTTAGCTCGTCATGTACATCGGCGGAGTTGAGACTCAGAGAGGAGCTGACTGCGACAATGGTGATGACCGGGTTTGAGTCCGGGGAAGAGCGGTTCCAGAAATCAGGCAAAGATGAAATCAGAACCCAAAAAATAAAAGCGAACGAGTTCGTGACGGGGCGAGAATGCGGCGAAATCCGAAAACGCGTTCAAAATCGGACGAGGGCTTTTGCTTTTCTTTTCTGGATGGCTTTTGTAAATCGTCGCTTGGGTTTAGGGAAGGAGGAGGGTGGCTGGTTCAGCCGATGGCCGATTGGCCAGCCGCGCAGTCGATCGTTCAGTCATTCAGTCCATCAGTCAGACAGACGGTTGCCCGACAGTGGCCTCCGCCAGCTTTTCGCGCGAGTACAGTGTTCGAGATGCGAAAAATCGCGGCACAGCGACCTCTCGCAGATTCGCGAAAACAAAAACTGCACAAATACGTACCTCTAGGGATGTATTTCGCGGCCTCCAGAAGCGTCCGCGGGGCTATGTTTCCACAATGAGCCTGGGTTGCATTTTGTTAGCACATTGAAGCTACAAAAATCTTAATTGTGCATGTAACATTAGTGCTGACCATATATACTGTATTTACTGTGTAGTATTATTATATTCATTTACTGTCATTAGATGAGTGAGTAAGAGCGTGCGCATTCAGTCACTGGCGAACCAGATTCATCAAGTTTCAGTTTGTCAATCGGTTTTCATTGATGAAATTAACAGATTTACTGGGGATGATCCAGTCGTGCTTTACCGTTTCAGCAGATCAGATTATGCAGTTTGATGTTTACAATTTGTGTTAAGCAAAAAAAAAAGTTGCAACACAAGTTACAGCGATGACGCCTAACTCTCTGTTTGTACCGCAGGCGGGTCTCCAGATGTGTGTGGCTGCTGATTGGAGGAGGCTGTACTGGTGGGTGGTCCTCCAGTGGGTAGTGGGCGTGGCCACCTCAGGGCCCTGTGCCCAGCGCTGCGACTGTTCACCGAAGCTCCCGCTGGTGGACTGCTCCTCTCAACAGCTTTCTGCTGTTCCCGAAGGCGTTCCCGACGCCACGCAGGTGCTCAACCTGACCTACAACCACCTGAAGACGCTATCCAGCCGGCAGTTCTTCAGTCTGAGGCAGTTACGCGAGCTGGATCTCAGCGCTAACATGCTAACTGTGATCGAGGTTGAGGCTTTCGTTGGTCTCCAGAACCTCATCACGCTGAGATTGTCCCGTAATCGTCTGAAGATTATCCCAGTAGGGGCTTTCTCAGGCCTTCCCAATGTTCAGTTTCTGGACATCAGTGAAAATGAGATCTTAGTCTTGTTGGACGACATGTTTGGAGAGATGCCGTCGCTGCAGAAGCTGGAGGCGAGTGAGAATGATCTGGTGTTCATCTCGAACCGTGCGTTCAGCGGCCTGCCGAATCTGCTGGAGCTGCGTCTGGAGCGCTGTAACCTGACGACGGTGCCGAGCGAGGCCTTCTCACGGCTGACGGGACTCCAGCACCTGCGCTTCTGCAGACTCGGCCTCACCGCGTTGCCCAACAACTCCTTCCGTCAGCTGCAGCGGCTGCAGGATCTGCACGTGTCCCGCTGCCCCTGGCTGCACACGCTAGCGGTGAACAGTCTAATCGGCCTCAATCTGACCTCGCTGACGCTGTCGCACTGCAACCTGAGCGCCGTCCCGTATGCGCCGCTGCATCACCTGGTGTACCTGCGCTACCTGGACCTGTCCTACAATCCCATCACCACCGTCCTCTCCGGACTCCTCGGTGACCTTTTACGGCTACAGGAGCTTCATTTAGTCAGCACTGGACTGTTGCATGTTGAATCTGGTGCTTTTCGTAATTTAGCATTTTTCCGGCTGCTCAATGTTTCGGATAATCGTTTGGTGACTCTAGAGGAGTCTGCGTTCCACGCGGTCGGTTCTCTGGAGGTGCTGCGTTTGGACGGGAACCCGCTAGCGTGCGACTGCCGGCTGCTGTGGGTGATGCGCAGACGTCTGCGGCTCCGTTTCGCTGGACATGCGCCCTCTTGTGTTTCACCTGTGCAGGTGCAGGGCCGCATGTTCCAGGACTTTGCGGAGTCGGAGGTGGCGAGGACGTTCACCTGCAGACAGGCTCGTATTCTGACCCGTAAGCCACAGGACGTGCGCTCTGATGAAGGACATACGGTGCTGTTCTTTTGCGCAGCTGATGGAGATCCTGCGCCGTCGATAATCTGGCTGAACCCTAAACGATCGGTTCTCACTGCGTCCGGCCGGATTCGTGTTCTCCCGAACGGGACTCTGGAGGTGCGCTACGCTCAGGTGCAGGACAGCGGATATTACCTGTGCATCGCCTCTAATGCCGCCGGGAATGACAGTATATCCGTAAGCCTGCGTGTTCGGGGGTTTCCGGCGTCCTCTCGGAACCGCTCGGGATCCTTCTTTCTGGATGGCTGGAGCTTTGCATCGGGACAAACGGCGGTCAACGGGTCGCAGCCGTTCCCGTTCGATGTGAAGACGCTGGTGATCGCCGTGACCATGGGCTTCCTGTCGTTCCTCAGCTCGGTGGCGCTCTGCTTCATCTTCATGTTTTTCTGGAGTCAGAGTAAAGGTCAGATCAAACACACCGCCACCATACAGTTCGTGCCGCGCAGCTCAGCGTCCACCACCGCAGGCCGGAGCACCGTGGAGACCGGACGCTTCACCATGAAGCTCATCTGAATATCAGACAATCTGAAACGTCTACATAATCTCAATAGAGCCTTTCCACACGTGTGTGTGTGTGTGTGTGTGTGTGTGTGTGTGTGTGTGTGTGTGTGTGTGTGTGTGTGTGTGTGTGTGTGTGTGTGTGTTTCTCAGCATTGGAAGTGGTCATAGTGCAGGGCGCAGTGAATGGGTGAGTACAGCACATCATTATTCTTCACTCCTATCAGCTGAAATCATGACAGAAGCACTCCAGGATGCTGTTATCAAGACTCTGAGAAGAGGAAAACAACAGTGTGAGACTGATGACGACAGTCAGGGGAGAGAATCATGTCAGATGTACTGTCCTGCCCTCATACACACTGCATTAAGGTTATTGCACACTGAATCCGAAATTTTTGCACGTTGAAGTGAAGTTTACTCAAAGTAATTTCGAGAGGATCACGTGATTATGATTGAACACGGCTGGTTCTGCATTAGCATGCATGATCCACCAATCAGGCCATTCCTAAGCCACTATAAAGAGCCAGGGGTTTTCACTGCAGTCATCTTCCACCCCTACCTCTTCCCCTTTCCCTTAATAGAGCGGCACGGTGGCCCAGTGATTAGCACTGTCACCTCACAGCAAGAACGTCACCGGTTCTAGTCCTTTAACAGGCCGGTGGTCGTTTCTGAGTGTAGTTTGCATGTTCTTCCCGTGCTTGCGTGGGTTTTCCCCTGTTTCCTCCCACATTTCAAAAACATGCACAAGTGAATTGATCAATCTAAATTTTGCACTACAGTTAATCCCTCACCCTGCAGCACATCTTTTCATAGCATTCAATTTTTAGTCATCAGTTTTTATCAAGGGGGAGTTGTCGAGATCTACCTGAGCTCAAGGCTAACCTCTCGCCCTCCAAACGGGAGGGAGCCCAGGGCTCAAGAACCTTTGAGCTCAGGGCTCTCTCCCGGGACAGCATGCCAAACTTGCTTATAATCAATCATCAGCTAAGTGTGAACTCTTGAAAATTAATTGGACCTCACGTTGTGTCAATCACACTGACACACTGCCTCTAAAACTTGTGTCCATCATTCCCCGTGGGGACCCGGGGTAGAATAGGTCCCTAGCACCCCCTTGCTGTTCGTAAGAGGCGACAAATGGGGCAACTTGTTGGCCGTGAGTTGCGACTCGTGTTGGTGGAGGAAGAGATCCTGGTGATTGAGGATTTTGATTTGCTGCGGCTATCAATTATCCAACACATCACTTTGGCTCATACTTCAACTAGACGAGAGATTGGAAAGGCCCATTCCAATCAATCGGCTTGTCAGGACTTGCCTTTCTCCCGGAAGGCGCTGGCATAGGGTCAATTGAGTATTATAGACCCTGTGTTTATATGCTCAAGTATATCATCACTGTATCCTTGATGTACATCCAGTGGATGTCCGTGGCTCTGTACATCCCCTTGTAGGACTCCGAGGTGGGTGAGGAGCAGAGATGAAGAACAAATATCTAAACATTATGGCAAAAAATCAAAACACTAAAAAACGGATATTGGAACAAGACTTGGAGACTGAACTAAGAACTGGTTTTAATTTCCCATCTGAAAATGAAAACTGGCAAAGATTTATTGTACTGGAATCACTGACTGATGACATGCCCCTGACCAAACTGTCCCCTTTTGCGATCCACAAAGGAATCACAGGAATTGCAGGAACAGTAAAAGACATTAAAAAGTTGCGATCTGGACAAATTTTGGTGGAATGTGCTAGGAAAGCTAACTCAGAAAATTTACTACAAGCAACAACTCTGGCTGGAATTACTATGAAAACATTCCCTCATTCTACCCTGAACAACAGCAAAGGTGTAATCCGCACCAGAGAATTACAAGATATGGACGAATCCGAAATCGTTTTAGAATTAAAACCAATAGGTGTAATCGACGTAAAAAGAATAATCATCAAAAAGGATGGGCAGATGATTAAAACGGGAACATACATCCTGACCTTCAACAGACCACAACCACCAGAGAAAATCAAACTTGGATATTTAAGTGTTGCTGTAGATATATTCATACCAAATCCACTGAGATGTTTTAAATGCCAGAAATTTGGTCATGGATCTGCAGGATGCAAAAATAAGACAACATGTCAAAACTGTGGTGAGGATGATCATGGAATGAACTGCACAAAACCTCCTAAATGTAAAAACTGCCTTGGAGATCATGCAGCCTCATCAAAGAATTGTCCCATTTGGCATAAAGAGAAAGAAATACAAAAAATAAAACACACAAGGAAGATGAGTTATCCTGAAGCTCGTAAAATAGTTGAAGCTCTTCCTGCCTTCTGTCTGAAAAAGCCCTATTCTGTTGCAGTCACACCAAAAACTCAATCAATAAGTTGTCAGACGGATCTAACTTGGCTATTCAAGGACAAACCCCAAACCATAAGCAACACCAAAAACTCAACTTCCCAAAAAACAAAAAATGAACTCATTCAAACTGGACCAATTCAAGACTCATACCTAGAACAGAAAGAATCAAAAGTGAAAAAGAAAACTCCAAGTACAACAAATCAACAACCAAATCAAGATAAATGTCGAACTCACAAAGATGACAATCCTAAAGATATTGAAATGACGGAGACAACGACCAGTCGTAGTCGTAGTCTCTCACCTAAATGTAAAAATAAAGGACCTGTACCTATATTTCCCACTTGAGAATAAACAATCACATAATACAGTGGAATTGTCGGGGACTAAAAACCAACTTTGCAGAATTACAGCATTTAAATTCTGTTTTTAACCCACTTGCCTATTGTATTCAGGAAACCCACTTATCTCCAAATGATGACTTAACTTTTAAAGGTTTTAATATGATTAGTATATGTGGACCAAACATACAACGACCCTCTGGAGGATCAGCTATCCTAGTGAGAAACGACATTATCCACAGTCAAGTTGTATTGGACACTCAATTACAAGCAACAGCAGTTCAACTTACTCTACATAAAACAATTACAATATGCTCTATCTATATCCCACCTCATGAAGCTGTAATACCTCAAGAACTGGACAAACTTATTTCACAATTACCAACTTCATTTTTACTGATGGGTGATTTTAACAGCCACAACAACTTATGGGGTGATGATCACTGTGATGCTAAAGGAAGAAGAATGGAAACTTTTATAGAAAATAATGATTTATGTCTTTTAAATGATGGAACCAAAACATATCTTCATCCAGGACATGGTACTTATACAGCAATCGATCTGACAATATGTAGTGCTGATCTTTTACTTGACTGTTCATGGAGAGTATGGAATGATCTATGCGGGAGTGACCACTTCCCAATTATCCTCACATTTCCACAACTGGATGTAACAAGTAGACCTTCAAGATGGCAACTCAAGAAAGCAGACTGGACCACCTTTCAAACCTTGTGTTGTGAAAAATTTATGTCAGCTACCCAAGATAATCAGAACTCAATAGAAGACTTCACTCAGCAGTTAATCGCTATAGCAGATGAAACCATCCCAAAGACATCAACAAAACCACAACGAAAGACAAATCCCTGGTTTAATGAACAATGTAAAAAAGCTATTGAAACTCGGAAAAAAGCAGAACGTGCTTTTAATAAACATCCAACAACTACAAATTTTATCCATTTTAAAATTTGTAGAGCCCAAGCTCGCAGAACCCTAAATGAAGCAAAGAAACAAAGCTGGAAACAATTTGTATCCAGCTTAACTTACTATACTCCCATGAAGAAGATTTGGAACATGATCCGTAAAATGAAGGGAAAGGAAAATGGAACTCGCATACAACATATTATAAAACAAGGAATACTTCAAACAAAGGAAATGGACATAGCAAATACATTAGCTGAAGCCTTCGAAAAGAATTCATCAATAGAGAACTGCCTCCCAGCATTTCAAATCATACGAGCACAGCAGGAATGCAAAGAACTAAATTTTTATTCTGACAACAAAGAAGTATATAATCAACCTTTTAAAATTAAAGAATTAATAAATTCTTTAAAATGCTCACATGATACAGCCATTGGACCAGATAAAATCCATTACCAGTTTTTAAAACACTTACCATATAGTTCACTATGCCTCCTACTGGACGAGTTCAACAACATCTGGTCTTCGGGAAAAATTCCAGCTTCGTGGAAAGAAGCAACAGTAATAGCTATACCTAAACCAGGAAAAGACCACACTGATCCAAATAACTACAGACCAATTGCTCTGACCAGTTGTTTATGTAAAACGATGGAAAGAATGATTAACAACCGTCTTGTCTGGACACTAGAAAAAAACAAACAACTAACTGACTACCAGTGTGGATTTAGACGTGGAAAGAGTACATTGGATCAGTTAATCCGACTAGAAACTTATATCAGAGATGGATTTATCAGAAAAGAACATGTTGTTGCTGTTTTCTTTGATTTAGAAAAAGCTTATGACACAACATGGAGATATGGAATTTTAAAAGATCTTCACCAAATGGGATTTAGAGGAAAACTTCCTACCTTCATTTCAAACTTTCTCACTAGAAGAAACTTCAGAGTCCAAGTGGGAAATTCCCTTTCAAATACCCACCAACAAGAACTCGGAGTTCCTCAAGGAAGTATACTCTCGGTCACACTCTTCAATATTAAAATAAATAGCATTGTGGAAATCATTGCTCCAAATATGTTCTGCAGCATCTACGTGGATGATTTATGTATCTGTTACAGAGGGAAGAACATGAATACAATTGAAAGGCAATTGCAGTTAAATATTCACAAAATTAACCAGTGGGCTGTCGAAAATGGTTTTAAGTTCTCTAAAACAAAAACTGTTTGTACACATTTTTGTATCCAGCGATCACTTCATCATGATCCAGAACTTTTTATCAATGGAAATATGATCAAAGTTGTTAAAGAAATCAAGTTTTTAGGTCTCCTTTTTGATAACAAAATGACTTTTATCCCTCATTTAAAATTTTTGAAAAACAAGTGCCTCAAAGCTATGAACATAATCAAAGTGTTGGCAAAAACAAATTGGGGTGCTGACTTAACTGTACTTTTACGATTGTACAGAGTTCTCATTCGATCTCGTTTGGATTATGGAAGCATAATTTATGACTCTGCCAGGAAATCTTATAAACAAATCCTCAATACAGTCCACCATCAAGGATTACGGCTTGCTTTAGGAGCATTCAGAACATCACCCGTTCAGAGTCTGTACATTGAAGCTAACGAACCCTCACTTCAAAATAGACGGCTGAAACTTTCATTACAATATGCTATCAAACTAAAGGCAAATAAGAATAACCCAGCTTATACTGCAGTTTTCGAACCTCAGTTTGTACAATTATACGAAAGTAAGCCAAAAACCATCAGACCATTTGGTTTACGTATCAATTCACACTTACAAAATCTAAATTTAAACCTGGACATTTTAAAACAAATACACTTCAACTCATTGCCTCCCTGGAATTTAAAGATGCCTATAATCAATATGGAGCTAGGACACCAGAA